CACGCGCCATATGGGCGCGCGCCCTTTGGCATTCGACTGGTCGCCGCCCGTTGCAGTCATCGCCAACGGCGCCGCCTGAATAGCAGCTGGGCCGCGCGCTCGCCCAGGCCCCGCTGTGCCGCTCTCCTCCTTGCGATCGCGCAGGAACTTGACAAGGCCGAGCGCGCGCCACCTTCATGGACTGCTCCCTGCCATTCCCAGCGCGGGCTCTGGAAGTCTTGGAGGCGCGCGGCAAGGTCCGCAGGCGGCGCCCAGGACAGGAGCCCACGGAAGTGGCGACAGCTGCGCAGCTCGCAGCACCCACGCCGCTGGCCCTCCCAGGAGCCCGCGACAGCGGCGACAGCTGCGACTTCGCAGCCGCCCTGGGAACCGCGAGGTCCCGGCGGGATGCGCGGGGCCCCCCATGCCGCCGGCCCTCCCACCTCGCAGGCTCCCAGGGGGCCGCGAGGTCCTGGCTGGATGCGCATGGCCCCCAGAGATCCTCCTCCTCCTCCTCCTCCTCCTCCTCCTCCTCCTCCTCCTTCCTCCTCCTCCCCCTCCTCCTCCTCCTCCTCCTCCTCCTCCCTCCTCCGCCTCCTCCTCCTCCTCCTCCTCCTCCTCCTCCTCCTCCTCCTCCTCCTCCTCCTCCTCCTCCTCCTGGCCATGGGACCTCCCAGGAGCCCACGAAAGTGGTGACAGATGCGCAGTTCGCAGCCACCCAGGGCCCGGGGAGCGGCGCGGGAAATTGGGCAAGGAGGACAGGAGGGAAGTGGACATACTCAAAACAACAAGCCAAGACAGGAGGTTCGGGACAACAAACGCATGCGGAAGGGGCGGGGCCACGGCCCAGACAATTACAAAAAGAGAGAGAGAGAGAAGAGTCGTATATTGAGTAGGTAATTGTAGAGGGGAGAGAGGCAAGCTAGGTGCCAGGTGCACTCGCGCCATATTTGAAATCCAACCCCTACCACCGATCCTTCCCCAGTGCGCCGATTGTCTCTCTGTCCGCGGACGCGCGTCAGACCGGAATCGGGAGACTGGGAGCTGCGTGCATCAGAGGACGGGCAGGATGTGGCAGATGGGTAGGACGATGGGCACGATGGCATGGAGGACGAGGAGAGAAAAGGAAGGCGAGGACGAATAGCAGCAACGGGAAGTGGAGCGGAAGGAGCCGGAGGAGCAGGAAAACCAGGGAAGGGCGGAGGAGGGCATAGGAGGGGGGAGCCGACCAAGAGGAAGCGCCGGGATCCAGAAAGCTTGTCCGCTGCGGAACGACGGGGGCATCACGCCGGTCCTGCAATGACGCCTGCGCTGCAGCGGGAACACGGTTGTGAAGACCGCGGCCTCGGATTGGACCGTGTTTGCGCGGAGCCAATGAAAAAGACGGAGGAAGGGAGCAGGAGCTAACAGCTCGATTGCAAAAGCATTGAGAAACATAAACGTTGACATCATCGGCGGTGAAGGAAAAAGCAAGAGAGCACGAATAGTTCAAGGAGTGGGCCGAATATCTTCCCAGCAGGGTCAACGGAGAGAGGGTACGAGTATTCGAAATGTGAAATTGTAGAAAGGCAAGCTAGGTGCCTTCGCGCCATATCTGAAATCCGACCCTTTCCACCCATCCCTTACCATTGCGTTGATTGTTTTTCTATCTGCTGGCGCGTGTCATAGCGGACCCGGGGCTCAAAAAAAAACATCGTGTGATACGCAATCGGACAAGGGGAGCTGCGTAGATTGGAGGAGGACGTTGTGGATGAGAGTGAGGATGAACAGGAAGAAGAGGTGAGGGAGGATGAGGCAGGGAGAGGAAGAGGAAAAACTGCAGCAGCAGAAGAACAGAATGACCTGGGGAAGGCGGGGAGGGGGAAAGGACAAGCTAGGTGCGCTCGCGTCATATCTGACGTCCTACCCCTCCCTCTCATCCCTTACCGTGGCATAGATATCTTCTCTATTCGCACAGTCGGATGTCGAGCAGGGCAATGATCGCGAGAGGGTACACGGTGCATGCTAGAGCATGGCATGGCATTGCGCAGTGAAGCATTGCACCACAAAGCATTGCAACGCAAAGCGTGGCATCCCACAGCAGCGCAGAACACACCACCGCACAGCACGTCATGGTATGGAGCTGGGTTCCTCGGAGGGTACGAGGATCGTCTTCGAGAGGTCCGGGCTGGTCTGGAGTCGTGGTTCCATGTCGAGCTCCTTGGGAACCCCGAAAAGCTCCACGCAAGGCGGGGCTGATGGAGAGCACCCGCTGGCTCTGCTTTCAACATCGCCTTCTCGAAGCAGAAAAGGGGTTCCCGCCTGGTACTTCCTTAGAAAACGGCGACGCAGCGACGCCCCAAAGCGGGGCAAAAGATCCACGAATCGACGCCGAATGCGGAATCACTTCCGATGGTTTTTTTCGGGGAGGGCATTTTTTACGTGTTGGGGGCCGACTTGGAAGGACCAAAAAAAACGCCCGCGTTGCAGCGGGAGCACGATTTGGAACAACCAGAGGCGCAAACATAGGCCTAGCGCTTCGGCGGGAGCAGCATTTCTGTAAAAGGCCCACGCGAAAACTCATGTCCCGGGAATCATGTGCGAAAGCGAACGGTACGCGGAGGGGGGCCGGACCTTTTCTGGACATCATCAGGGGAGAGAGGAGAGTAGTATTCATATTGTGTAAAGGGCGACAACGATGAGGAAACGATCGAAGCCAGAAAAGTGGCCCGCGCTGCAGTCGGAGCGCCAATCTGAACGACGGGAGCCAAGCGCCGATCTTAAAATGGGGCCAAGTCTGCAGCGGAACACGAATTTGAAGGACCAGAGGCGCAGAAGCGAGGCCATCGCTGCAGCGGGAGCACCATTTCGAAGGACCGAAGTCAAGCGTACGGTAAACAACCGTAAGAGCCATTAATATTTGAAATCCCGTGTGTGGAAACAATAGCGAAGAGGGCCGAAGTCAGGGGACAGAGGAGAGTAGAAGTCATAATGTGCACTTGCAGTGGCGGGCGAGGCAAGCTAGGTGAGCTCGCGCCATATCTGACGTTCTACCCGTCCCACCCATCCCTTCCCATTTCGTTGATGGATTCTCTATCTGCCAGCGCGTGTCATAGTGGAGCTGGACTTCCAAGAGGGACCTCATCGTGTTACGCGCATATGAGAAAAGGATCTGCGCAGTTACTTTGGAGGAGGAGGAGGAGGAGGAGGAG